GCGTCAGTATGTTTGATAGCTTGAAAACGATCTTCAATATCGCTTCAAACAATTTGTTATAGGGCTCAATAACTGTTATAGATTGTAAATAATAATAGCTCTCAATGAGAGCTACATATTTGTGCCGTTTGGTGTGGAGACCATGGGACCATGGGGTCCAAGCGCTCGTTCCTTCTTTAAGGAATTGTCTAAGAGACTCACCGAGGTGACCGGTGATCAAAAGGCTGGCAGCTACCTCGGCCAACGGATTAGCCTCGTTATCCAACGGCGGCGCTGGGGGTGATATATTTTTTATTTTGTAAATTGTATATTATTTAAGTTCTAAGTTATTTCTAGTTTTTACGTTTTTAGACATAAGGTAGTTTTAAGCTTTTGTAATTGTAAACTCATATCGGTAGCACCTAAAAATAATACGATTATAAATCTCGCTCTTCAATTTAAATATTTCGTATTGGTCATTCTATTTTTTTTTATTTATTGCCATAGTATTTAAAAGTTTTGGTTTGTTTACTTAAGTAGAGGTCATTATATTTTTGTTTTAAGCATGTAACTGCTAGATGTTTAAAATCGAAATATAATTTTTATTACAAATAATTCCACTCGGTGTGAAATTTTAATATCTCATAGGCGATGTGTTCAAGTGTTACTACTAGTGGGATGTAAAAAATTTCATAATGAAGAAGTTTTGTATCATTTTAAAGAAATTTTAAACCCATTTCTATTGGAATATTTAACCAACAGCAAAAAAAAGTATCTTTTCTATACAGTTTCATAGTATTTGATTTAGGATGATAAACAGTTGTAATAATAACAATTTTTACGTAACACAGTAGTCGAGTTGTCAGCCATATTTATTGCTTATACTAACTAATATTAAATATGGACTGAATCTAAGCTTAGTATACTAATCAAGTAATAAATGTATGTAATCAAGAAAATCAAACGTAAAATCTCAAGAATTAATATTTCTTTCACGTCTATACGTAACGGTTTTAAAATGGCGTACAATCTTAAAAGAGTCCACATATTGAAATAAATGACTCATTGTTTACGAAAAACTTTAATCTAAATAAAAACGACAGTTGCAACCGTACAATTCAAACCTCCACTCGGATCTCATAAAGATGTCAAATAATAAAAACCCAAACACCTGCATTTAAAAAACAAACGCTCCTGTCACACGCGACACGATTCAATTCTATCGGAGATCGCTCTAATCGAGTGAGGCATCGACATCGACTATCGTGATGGGTACGCATTAGCCCGCCTTTTTTGTTTGTCGATACGATAAATTGAAATTGACAATTTCGTCGCGTTGACAATATTTTTTATGAGCCAATTTAATTTTCGAAGATGATACTAAAATGTCACCGCATTAAATTCAATTTAATGCGGCAACTACGTAAATTAAAGCGTATTCTGTTTTAACATGCTCTTTGTTCGACGCCATTAATGTTTTATAGACTTCGAAAACTAATCAATTACATTACGGACCTGTTTGCCCGTATATTTTTAAATAGATAACACGATTTTATGGCTGGCATACACATTTTACGTAAAATATTATTCCAATATCCCATCAAACCCATTCAAAGTCTTACAAAACAGTCAGTATTCAAAAATGTATCTACCATTTGTAATTAAAAGTAACAATCGTTTCCAATAAGCAACTAACCCATATCAATCAAAGTCCAGTCCAAATTCAACGGAAGCTAACAAACCGCTCACATTCGACAAAGAAAAAGCTAATACAACCAAAAAACCACCAATCAAAGAACGGCAATGAAATAATCGAATTGCCGATAGCCGAGTGCAGCTCAAAGGGCACAAACGAAGAACCGCAACAGATTTCGAATAATAGAAAACGAGAAAAAAGACAATCGAATGACTAATATCTCCCACAAGCACAAAGTTCGTGTCGATAACGTGTCTATGGCAACAAAAAGGAGGCGGAATACGCAGAGGAAGGAATTTAAAATAGGAACACGACGATTTTAGATTTTTGAATTTGGTATCCCTGTCTTTGTTCACGTCATAACTTCGTAAGCCGCGATGAAACGCCTGCAGTACTAATACCGTACAGAAAGAGAAACTAATGACACTTTATTCATTTTAGAGAAAGGTTTAGTAAAATGTGGCAATTATCTGTTTTATTTGTTTATTACTAACAAATGTATTCGTGTTCCAAAATGAGTTAAAGACGGAGGAATGCCAAACTGAAGGCATCGATTGAAAGAACACCAGTAAACTTTTCTGTCACGAAACCTTTTTTCCGATGCACGATAGATTTTTACCGCTGTTCAGTATTGGCTTTTCTTTTATCATAAATTCGTACATTACGATAAAGCTCCTGATACGAAATTAGGCCCTATTCAGAAGAAATAAGAGCTACTTATTTGTATTGGCCAGGCAAATTAGAATGTGTAACATTGTTTCTGTGGTGTTCTAAAAAGTTGAGCTCAGACAGTGTGTGAGGGTAATCTTACTGTTTAGTTATATTTATGACAGTGATAAAAGTGTTTGCGGCTTTGTACAGTTCGTTTGTAGCACCTGTCGCTTTTTTATTTAGGTTTACAACCGAAATTTTATCGATGAAACTATTGAGTTGTAAAATAAATAATGTCGTGACATCTGATTTACATTCAAGTCGTTGGGAGTTCCCTCCTGCATTTATCGTGCATAACGTTTAGTTCAAATTGATACTTAAGTAATGGTAGCCGTAGCTGGCTTTGCACCAATTTTGTGCCGAATGCAGATTTCAATTGGCCGCCGCTTTCGAGTCAATAGACATGGCGTTACCGAGACCACTTAACGACACGACAAATTTACAATTCTAATTCCTGTGTAATTTCCTACGATTTATATTTTATTTTGAAACGTAGACATATATTCGGATTGCCGAAAAATAAAGTTGTTAAGGAGACCGTTAATAGAACGGGCGACGCGCACGCGACCGCTTCCGCGCTGATCACTATCAATGGCAAACTTAAAACTACCGATTGACAAAATACCGGTGACTCAAAAGCGATCCTTAATACGATCACAATTAAGACTCAAATTCTATGACACACTTTTGTTTAGAAAGCAAATGTTGTGTTGTCGTCAACCCTAAGACGTTCGATTTTTGAACTGCCCTCTTTTTAAAATCGTTCCATTTGCACGTTCCGAATGTTCCGTTTTCAAATTACAACGAGTGCAAGACAATATTTTCATCGATTGCCATACACATTTAATAAATTAATGTAATAATTTTAACACTGCTTTAAATATCTTGCTATTTAAATAGCTGATAAGTTCAACTTTTTATAAATGGGCAAACCTTTTTAATAAAAATAGAATTTTCCAAATAGTTACCATATTTGTATTGTAAAAAGCTGTATATTATTATACGAAGCCTTTTTCATTTGAAATTTAAAGGTTTTTGCCGTATCAATGCGTTAATAAGTCCACTCGTCCGCTTATCCGTCAAATCTACCCTCCGTTAATGAATATTAACAGGACTGAACAGTTGCGTTAAATGACTTGGACGAATAATTATTGTATGTATGACTCATTTACGATCAAATTTCGTTTAGTTCGAGTAAATAGGATTTTTAGTCTAGTTAATATTTGAAAAACAATTAACTATTTACTAATTAAGGCAGACAGAATAACTTAGGAAAGGAGGAACTCAATCAACTATTCTAGAAAAAGTGTTTTCAAAATCAACGTTCTCATTAAAACAGCAATGCATTTTTTTATTCGTTTCTATTTTGTCTAATATAAAAAATATTCGAAATTCAAATCAACATTGGCAGTGTTATTTGAGTGCGCCCAACGTCTAATTGTAATCGAACCTTTTCGAACGGCACACTAGTGGTGGGCCGGTGTCGATATCGACATCGATCGGTACGTTCCGTGCGACCGTGTAATCCTGTTTGCATATCGGCGCACGAAACTCCCGCACTTATCATGTTTATTGATTGACACGCCAGTAATTCACAGTTGAACCCTGCCGGCCGCCACCTTGGAGGTGACGCGAAAGGCATAAGCGACAGCGATTAATTGCAACATGCAATCCTCAATATGTTTAAATATAAATCCTTATTCATGACAAAATATCATCAGAGAAAGCCTCAAACTGTTTGACTAATTTACCAATATATAATTTTTAATTTGTTTAGTTACCTTTAAAAATTTTGAGCAACCTTGCCATCATGTAAATTTTATGATTGAGTAAACAAACCACAAAGATAATTATAGGGATTCAGTACAGCTGATTATTTTATGATATTTGCACTGGCTCTCTTGTCTAACCGTTCTTATTGTTAAATCTTATTACAGGCACATTTCATGTTGAATTATTGTCTCAGCCGATTTAAATCACATAAAACAAAAAGAATGATAGGGTAATAAAAGACTCGTATTCTAACCGCTTCCTCCTGTATATTGAAGTGAAGCTTTAAATTTACAAGTCATGGTTTACGGCTCTTTGTTTTAGGTGGTGATAAGTTCGTTTTTAGGTGTTCCACTGTTGTATACTACTGTACCTCCTGGATTGTTTCGGTTATTTACTATCACCGTTTTACTTTACATGCTTCTTTACATTTACAATCGGAATCAAGTAAACTGAATATTAATGAAAAATCTGTAGCCATTCGGGAAAATATAATGTGTAATTTTATGCAATATGGTTATTTTTAAAATATAAAATGAAAACCATAAAATGGCGATTCCGTCAAAACTATAAACCAACTGTTAACCAACTTCAACTGCCAACCGCTGCCACTATTAAGAATTTATAGCCTATTCATTCTGTTAGTAGTTGCTTAAAATACAATACCAGTATTTAATCGGCACGAACCTGTCAATTTACTTTTTTCTTTCACCTATCGGGCTGAGCATCGAACTCGGCATAACCAAATTAGTTTCGACACGAAAACGCGAGTGGCCGATTGTCTGCCTTACAATGGAATCGATGGAAAAACTTCCCCTTCCAATACTCTTTTTTTCTGTTTCAGGTCGAAGGGCGCAACACAATAAGAAACAGAAACGTAAAGAACAAACGCGAATAGCACGCGATCGAAAAGAACAATCGAGTATCATCGATTTGTGAGACTTGTAACGAGCATCTCTAGATTTGAGAACTGAAATTCAAACTTTCGAATTTAGAATGCGGTGTTCAGCTATGGGATCGCGATCGAGCACAGGAGCGCGGGTGGGGATGAGTCGGGGCTGAGCAATCGGGGCGTGCGGACGTCCGGATGCACCCGACGGGCGCGGCCAGTCTGCCCGCCGCACCCGAGGCGGAGGTGCAAGCTATGCACTCAATGGACTGGCTGTTTAAGAAAGAAAGGATATATCTACTTGCACAGTTTTGGCAACAGGTGAGATAAGGCATTTCGAATTACAATGAATTTCCTAAACTTGACAACCGTATATCCTTGTCATGCTCACAGAAAGAAGAGTCCGCTGTGAAATTAAGACACTCTAGTCCCACTCTCGGCGTCAAGAAAAAAATAAACAAAAACCAGTTCAGACATTATCGCACATGAAACTGATCGAACCGATTAAAATAATAGTCTTGTCCTACAGTATTGAATACAATTGTCCTCTTTGACCCTCAATTACAATACTAATATCAGATAATGCAACCGAATCAATTAATAGTTCCGCGTTATACCGGCAATTAACCCACGCGGGTCGAGCCCGTTCGGCGACAAATATCTGTTCACCTTTGTTCTGTATGTTAATAGCGACACTATGAAAGGATAACGTCTCAATAATGTCGGGTTGACTGATATATTAATATTATTTCATCGATAAGTATAATGACATACTAGCGAGGTAACGACACTTTACTGTCTTCTTACAGATGTACAAATTAGTCAAAAAATACATTGCGATAAAGACCTATGTACCTAAAGATAATTATGTCAGTTTCACAAGATTCCATTTTTAAATTAACACTATGTTATGTGACACCCTATCTTTAGCTTACCTACTTACAAAGAATTCTTCGTTTGATATCGATTCTTTCCGTGACTTTCGCAAGAATTCTATTTTCAAATTTTACATAATAGTGATGTCACACCATATCCATAGGGACATCCAGAGAATTCTTTACTTGAAATTAATGAATTCTTTAGCCGTTTCAAATTACAACCGCGAATCACATGCGTCGATCGTATGTTACATACGTGACCATCGGACGTCTAGTATTTTCCGTAGAGTCGGTAATTATTTGATTTAATTCATGGAAGATTATTGCCGGACAATTGTTTTATGCGTTAATATCGGACGGCGGTATCTGAAGGCCAATCGAGTCGAATGGCATTGTTTCAACGACATAATACCCCCCCTGATGGATATCTGTTCGTTATTACTGCATTGTGAAGGACACAGGATGTTGCGAAATGAATTAGAAATATGTACACTTCCTAAGTTGTTGGTGGTGCTGGTTTCCGCGTGACGACTAATAGATAGATCAGTATTGTATACGTTAATGGACTGACGATCTGATGAAGATCGCGGGAATTTGATGGATGCGCGTGGTACAGGACCGATTGATGTGGAGATCTTTGAGGGAGGCCTATGCTCAGCAGTGGACGTCGTACGACCGAGAAGATGATGATATATACTTTGATTAATTATATGTCCTAATGACTTCAATAAAGGTGCTAATAATACTTGAATGTAACCTATTCAATGTAGGTATAAGAGGATCATAGTAATCACCTCTGCATCATCGCAATCTCATAAGTCCCAAACTTAAGTCCTGGTAAGAGTGTAGAAAATGAGGTGTCTATGTGGGTGTTGTTTCTATCGGTTAGTAAGGTTCATAGCGGGGTAGGCATTGAGCAGGCTGGCAAGGTAAAAGTGGCTGGAGGGATCTTCCTTCTGCCGTATCAGCTAACTCCGCAACTAGACTCCACTAACATCAAGTGGATGGGTCATTTGCTGTACCTATAAATAAAGTTGGTATAATAAATAAATTTGCTGTGCCTATAAATATAGTTGGTATAATAAATCTCCTTAACCCTTGCGCCATCAAGATACTCTTACCACATATATTATCTTACGTAAGTAAATCAAATTCATATGAAAAAATCCACAAACATAATACGATTAATCGCAATGCGCAATCAACGAACGCAAGTAATCATAGAGGCAGCGCCATAGACAATGATCGGTGATCTTATGACATTAGACACGTCAGTTGTCAGTGTCACCGGGTGGCGATAAGTCAATTATGGCGCGCATTACATACGCTAATGCCTCTAATATCGAGTGAGCAATTCGATTTTCGATGAGAAACACGTACCGTGAACATCAGTGAAGCAACCGATTTTATATTTATTGCCACCTGTTATGTACTGCGTGGATTGATTTCGTAATTAGATTTGTTTATCTGCTTATTATTTTTATCGGTTCGTCTTTATGGCTGTATGTTAACAGAGGCTTTTGAGTTGAAACTTTAGGTTTGCTCTGAGAATTTATACCTAATTTGGGCTTCATGTTAAATAATTTTATAAATATACCGTCTTCCAATCATAAAATCAAATCTTCAAGTAGAATCAACAAAATAACGTCGTTATAAAATAAAAATAAAAGTGAAATATATTTAATTAAATTAACCTTGCTATTTCAAACAAATACTTACAAATATAAAATCGACCAAGTAAACAAATGGATACTTAAACTTGCATCGTTACAAGCCGTAACGACGGATATCGATTAAAATGGCTATCATAATAACAACTAACTGCTACTTTTACTATAATAAAAGCTACAAGAGATTAAGTTAAAACACAGCCATCATTCCGCAGCGAAGTAGCAACAATTATTAAAAAGTAATTTACAAGAAACAAAACAAGGAATGCAAATCATTGTGTACTTAATTTAAGTATAAAGCACAAAGTAGCAATAAATGTGGCACTTATGCATAAAACTGAGAACGGTTGAGAAATTAAATTTGCGTCCTTGCAATTTCTAATCGATAACCGCAATTCACCGCACGGCATATGGAAATTCGAAATTTAAATATGCTTTTTAATCAATGTAAGGACTCCGTATGCTAGTACAAACAATACTATCGGGATGCAGAATTCAAATGTGTTTAGTATCTGTGGACGCATCGGTCGCGGCCCTTCGGTTCCTTGTGGGATGAATATTTATTTCATGTCGTGGCTTAATACTGCTATTGTTCATAATTTGTCGTTTACAAGTTTCTTATCGAATCCAGAATAGGTTGAGAAGATGCATTTGCAAAGCAAATAATGTATTATTTGTGTTTTCAATGGCGTACCTACGCTGTCTATGCTTTCTTAAATCTTTTTCCACGTCTGTTTATGGTAACAGTTTTTTCTAAATACTATATTGAACTCATTAATGCACATCACTATGTGAAACAAATTAATAAGTTATAAAAAAATCTATGTCTTCAAGCAATAACGAAAATACGTGAGTGGAATGTCTCTCTTTTGTTTGAGCCATTTTGAATTTCGATTCGAATATCGTTCTCACTGCACTTCTAATTTTGAATTTGTAATTGTTTCCGAGAAACGCACTCACCGTGCCTTAGCAATTGAGTACCTTCATAATGCGTTTTATTTTCGTTCTTTTCTTGTATTGTAGAAATGACAGACGTTAATACAAACATACTTCCTAAACAAGAGAATATCAAAAAAAATAAAGTTATCGTATAGCGAGCGATAAGAATAATTAGCATTATAAATTTATCTTCCGTTTCTTTACGATGCACAATTATTATAATAACTACATACTATTTCATTTAGTCGTAACTACTGCTTCTTTTGGTTTTTTTATCAAATAACTGTCATAATATGATCTCGCTATCAAAACCAATAGTAATAAATGAACCATTAGCCACCCATCTCGAGGCAACCTTTAAAACTAAATTTAACAGCCACTTTGAAACCTCCAAGGGAACTGCTCAATAAACTAACAATTAACCACTATAAAATTCTGCAGCATGCCATTTTATTGTTTTTATAATAGGACTTTTAAACATTGATCGAACGTTACATGTAGCAATCAATACGTTTTTATTATTATTCTAAATAAATAAGTATCTATTTGTCAAGCTAAATGGGTGAACTTAAAAAAGGAGTAATAACGCATTAATATTACAAATTAAATAAATATATATGCAAACAAATCATTAATACTTAAATCCTATTGCTGGTTATCTTTGCGAATAAAATTCGAAGGGCCGAAGTGCATATCGAAAGCGAAATACGAGAAGCGGTCCTTTCTACAATATTTTCAAAATTGGAACGTCCACCGTTAATTAGGGCTGGACGTCACCGCAAACATTCGGATCGCGAGGTAATTAATCGACTCGATTCATCGGCGATCGTATCAGTGTGGATCGTAAAAAGAACGCATTTCCCTACCGTTCCCTGACCGTCCGGGAATGCGATCGGTTCCCACAGCCTTGATGTCCCGAAGAATGTGTCCCGTTCAGAGCAAAAAATCGCGCGCTTTCCCATGCCTGTGTCAATTCTGGGTCGAACCTTAGTGACGCCACGCGACGCCAAGTAGTCCTCGCTATAATAAAACTAAAATGTCGCCACCGCCTTAGCAGAACTAAGTACGATTATTTTTAGAATTTTCCCGCACCCGTAATTATCTTATTAGTGTGCAAAAAGCAAAGAACACTTAGCCGAAAACCAGGAATTTAACTCGGAGCCGAAAGCCCGTTGCAAAAAAGCTTAACCTGTATTTAAAAATCGATTGCAACCAAAAAATTGTCACTGACAAATGATTCGAACGCCTTGCGGTTGGAAATTACGAATTCAAATCTTCGAATTTCGAACAAAAACCTCCATTAACCGTTGGTTGTTACCTTTTTTCGGCTGTCGATGATTTTTGGGGCTAATCGTGTTTTTTGCCGATACGTTTGAGACTAATCGATGCATCGGCCTCACTAATTCGATTTGCGCCCCTCCCTTTGCACTCATAGGTAGGCGGGGACTATCGATCCGTTAGATAGATCGTGATAGTAGATTAACTTGGATTCCGCCATTAAATCGATGGGCAACGTTAATCGATATTAGATGATCATGAACTAAAGTATTTTTTGTATCAATGGTCTTATATGTCAACCTAACTGCAGTACATTGGCCTTAAGGTATCTCCATAATTTGATAAAAAAAATATAAAGAATCGATTGTGGTTGATGGCCGGCCACACGAATCATCTGTGGAACAGTCAAATCACCAACGCTGATGGTTTTTTAATGATATTTTTCACAATCGGCCCGATCATTGATGGTTATTAGGTATAGGCGAGTGCCTCGAGACATGAACGCAGAGTACCTTAACACTTGCTGACAGAACAATTTCATTGCGCCAATACGAAC